TTTCACTCTCTTTCCCCCCTTTTCTCCCCCCCCCCACTTAAAATTATTTGATCATTAAAGATGGCTTCTTCTTTGTCCCAATCTTCTTCTTCTGCAAGCGTTTCTTGTTGCTTCTCATAGTTCCAGATCTCCATTTCTAAGAATTGAAATACGAAGCCAAAAGAACCTCTCCCTTCTTGTGCATCTTCTTTCCATTTTTTAAGTTCCATTTTCAGTTCTTCTAAGAGTGATACCATTTTAAAGACTTTTAAACAACCACCCGGTTAATTTTAGTCATCCAGATGCAAAAACCAAAAGTCACCAAGTAATCCAAATAATCCAAGGCTGTTTCTTTCTGCTTCTTTTTTCCACTTTCTCTTCCTGGAGTTCTATTATTTTGTTACCAAGTTTCAATTAAGATGTATCTTTGAGGAATCTTGTTGAAATTTCACTGTAAATTCATTTTAGTTACAGTTCCATTCCTTAGTTCCAGGCAGTCTCCTCCATTTTTCCAGATCCTGCCCTTTTATTCTTTTTTTTCTCCTTTCCTGCTTTTAAAAACTTTTAAATATCTAGAAATCTTTATTATCCCTTTGACTGTTATTTTCAGCTTAGATGCCTATTAATGTCAAAATGGATTTTTTTCAATTTCTTGCTTAGGTCTCTTAGCTTTCAGTATAAGGAAAGGAAGAAAAAAAAAACCTGATCCTTTCCCTTCTCTCTCTCCTTCGCAGCTTCAAAATCTTCTTTGGTAACAATGTTATTAAATTTAAATTCCAGGTACCTTATTTGTTGCTTTTGCTGTTTGACCCGGTCAACCAAAACTTTCTCTTCTTATCTTCCTCCTGCACATTCTTTTCCAGTCGAGTTCTTCTTTGTGGTGGCCATTTCTGACCACCGCTACAACCGCCTTCCGGAAAGGGAGTAATGGCCAGCTGGGGAGGAGAGATGCGGCTCTCCTCAACCCTGCAGGCAGTCTCCCCCTTCTTCACCATCTCTACGGGGTGGTTTAGCCCCAAAACTAGCTGGCTCGGGGCACTCCAGCAGCAAGCATGGGTCAAAGCCTCGCAGAGACGAGGTTTCGGTCTGTCGCCGAAGAAGCTCAAACCGGAAGCCTGTTTTTTTTTTTTTTCTTATTTTCTAATAAGTGCGAACATTTGGTATAACTTTTTGTATCTCACTTTAAAAAAAGATTTGAACACCTCTCTGAAAAAGATAATGTGTCTAGCACAGCAGAGCTATGAAAAAATTGGGTGACAAGTAAAGAGCGCAATTATCAAAGAACTGTTAATGTTATTCTTGGGCCATTATGAAACAGACAAAGATTTCTGGTACAAAGTACAGCACCCTTCAGGGATTTTCATCAGACATTTATTTCAGTCTTGCTGTAATGGTGGAGAATATACTTGGACAGGAGAATTGAACCGCAACATAAAGCTGGATTTGGGATAGGTATTGCCACTTTAAATTATTGGGAGACAGTGGCCTAGGTCATCAGTTATAATGGGATATGGGGAAGTCCTTAGGAGACCTAGCAAAAAGATGCTGCCAAGGGAACAGTCAGATAAGAATACACCTAGAGCTGGATAATGGGAGGGGTGAGAGGTTCAGGAGAGACTCTCCCTAGTTTATTGAGCTGTAAAGGAGACAGGAGTGGTGGAAGAACTGTACTGTCATGCTTGCAAGATTCTGTCACTGATGCTTTAGAGCAGGGGTGGGCAAACTTTTTGGCTCGGGGGCCTCATTGACTTTTAAAATTTGACAGATGGGCCGCCACCTGGTGTCGAAATGCCTGTCATTACAAGTCAAAATCAAATGAATGCAATCATTCAATCATTCACATCAAACCTTAATTCTGTACCAATCTTCGGCGGGCCGGATTAAAAAGACCAACGGGCCGGATGTGGCCCGTGGGCCGTAGTTTGCCCACCCCTGCTTTAGAGGCATTTCCTCTGGTTGCAATTCCTACCTGGTTTGCCCCACGAGGCCAGCATCAGCAGCGAGGATGATCGTGAGTCAGCTTCGAAATCTTTCTAATGGTTTGGGGAATGAAAAGGACACCTTCTTTCTCCAGGCACAAAAGATCACTTGTGTTTCTTAGAAGCCTAAACGAATAAGTTGCAGTGGCTTTCTGAAAACAGGTTGAGGAATCATGCACATCCCTAGGATTTAAGGGTACCAAGGTTGTCTTAGATGCTCTGTGGAGTTCTTCCTGGACTTTGCAATCTACGCAAAAGCCTCTCACATTGTGTTCTCTAATAAAGTTCCCCAAATATTGGTTTCTTGTAATGGAAAGCTTTAGTTTCTTGTAATGGAATGCAACATTCACTCAACTGGGAGGCATGTACACAGCAGATCCCATTTCCTTCAGTGTGTATGGCTTTTCTTTCCTTTACACCTGCACTTTTGATCTGCATTATACCTTGAATATCTAGATGCCAGGCTTTAAAATGGGGAAGAAGCTAAGTCCTTTTCAATGTCAAGATGCCCAAATCTGTACATAGATAAATCTAATTTCTGAAGAGCCACGGTGGCACAGTGGTTAGAGTGCAGTACTGTAGGCTACTTCTGCTGACTAGCTGTTTGCAATTTGGCAGTTCAAATCTCACTAGGCTCAATGTTGACTCGGCCTTCTAGCCTTCTGAGATGGGTAAAACGAGGACCCAGATTGTTGGGAGCTGACTCGGTAAACTGCTTAGAGAGGACTGTAAAAGCACTGTGAAGCGGTATATAAGTCTACATGCTATTACCATTGCTAATTTCTCCTAGTTGAATTTGAGGACCTAGACAATATTAAAGTTGGAAAACATTATATTTTTCATTTTCAAATTTATTTATTTATTTATAGAACATTTTAAGTTTGATCATGCAACTGTTAAAGACTAATATTGTAAGTAAAATTTTAAATTCAAACTTACAATTTAAAATTTAGAATTTAGAAATATAGAATTCCCATCTTTGTAGGAAATCATCCTTTTATAGGACCATCCTAAGCATGTAAAAATTGAGATAGGCTCCCAAAAACTTTCTATTTAGAATTGGTGACATCACAATTGCAGGAATTCTGCTTTTAGCAGTGTTTTTTTTTTCCTTCTTCAAAATAGTGAAAGAATGATAACTACATATGAAAAACAGAAACTCTGACCCTGAACCCCATTATATGGTTGAGCTATTTCTGCCTAAAACAGAAATAATTCACTACTTGCTTCTCTCCAAATGTTGTCCCAAATCGCGTTGTGCTGAATGTCTATGGAGATTCTCAGTCATCCAGGTCATGATTGTCCCAAAGGTGCTTTTTCAAGAGGCAACTGAACTTTCTGTTTTTTCTTGAAGAAGCTTCTTGGATGAGAAGAGAAACGTCTTCAGAGTAAAACCAGAAAGTCCAGTTGCCTCTTGAAAAAGAACCTTTGGGACTTTGTGCTGGAGGATCCCAAATTTCAACTATACCATCACCATTCAGAACAGCCATATTGGATTTGAATAGCAACTTAAGAGCTTCTCTAATATGCCATAACATAAAAACCTAGATACGCCTTCTCAGAAGTAACCTACTTTTAATTCAATATATTTACACCTGATGTGGATGAAAATTACTAATTTTCGATAATCAGGTCCATATGGTAGTGAGTAGAAGCCTGCAACCAGTCTGATATTGTTGAAAGATTTGGCCACTCTGACTTCTTCAGCAGCACCTGGAAAGCAACAGGTTGCCCAAACATTTTCTTTTTGTAGACAAAAAAGAGGGGCAGTTCTAATCCAGAAAGGGAATTTGATTCTAGCTCAACACATTTTTAAAAATAATTCTGCACCAGAGATATTCTTTCAACAGCACTTCCGAATAATTAGGCATGACACATGAGCCCCAGGATCCCTTGCGAATATCCCTCACATATAGGGCAACATTAATTTTTAGCGTTTTGTGCCTGATGATTTGTTTTGTAGCATTTCATTTTTACTCTCACAAGGCTGTTGCTTTAATGAAAGGTGGTTTAAGATTCACGATCCAAATTGAAATAAGATTCTTTCGTTCGATTTTACGACGGCAGGCACTGCGAAATCCTAATTCTTTGACGGCCAAACCTGTAACATAAAAATGTAAACCTGAAATGCACATTAGTAGTCCGGATAAAACCAGGTCTCAGGTGACTTATATTTTGGGACGGTGCACTGCTGCACTCTTGCATGTTGTGAATGTATTCTCGTCCAGAGGGAGGGAAATTGGTTGACGGGGTCGCTCCAGAAGCAACCGGAGGGGTATTGTCCAGATTACCTGTCAAAGATACCCGATTTCTGGGTTCGGTTTTTTAAAAACGCATAATATATTATGTCACAAACGGTTCAGGCCCAGATGCATCTCACCCATAACAGGTGGGTGAAGAGAAAATCGCGCGACTCTTCGGGAATGGGGACGGGGAAGAGTCGCTTGCCAGCCTGCCTGCCTGCCTGCCTGCCTCCGGCGAGCGCGCCGCCGTCCATCCCCTGCTGCCAGGCGCCCCTGAAGCTTCCCCTCCGCCGCCGCTGCGCCTCGCCTTGGCTTCCCCAGCCGAGCGACGGTTAACTCGGCCCGCATCTCTGCGTAATGACGCGCGGGAGGCAGGCAGGCAAGGTTTGGGTGGGGAGAGGAGGGCGAGCGCGAAGGAGGTGGGCAAAGCACGAGAGCAGGAGGCGGAGAGGAGCCGAGCAAGCTTTTAAAGCGACAGCCGAGCCTCCCCTTCGCCCAGTGCTGAGCTGCAGCGGGAAAGGCAGCGCGGGCAGGCGGAGCGCCGACGGCAGCAGGCGCCGGGACTGGACTCGACTCTCTTCCCCGCCTGGCTGCTCTCCGCCCCCGGGGAATCCTCGCCGAGCGCAGGGGGAGGGGGCGCGGAGGGACCCTGTCGGATCGGGCGCTTCTCTCCTCCACCCAGCCCAGCCCAGTCCGCTCCTTGGCGCCCTCCTGCGCCGGCTCAGCCCCTTCTCCACTCTCGCCGCGCACCATGCTCGGGCCGGGGCTCCGCGGGGTGCAGCCGCTGACTTTGCCGAAGTTGCCCTGCTGGTGCCTGCTGCTGGGGTGGCTGTGCTGGGCAGGGACGCGCGGCCAGGAGATGTACGCGCCGCACTCCATCCGCCTGGAGGGGGACATCACCTTGGGCGGTCTCTTCCCGGTCCACGCCCGGGGGCCCAACGGCGCGCCTTGCGGGGACATCCAGCAGCAGGACGGCGTCCATCGCCTGGAGGCCATGCTCTACGCCCTGGACCAGATCAACAGCGACCCCGAGCTGCTGCCCAACGTCACCCTGGGCGCCCGCATCTTGGACACCTGCTCCCGGGACACCTACGCGCTGGAGCAGTCGCTCACCTTCGTCCAGGCACTCATCCAGAAGGACACCTCCGACGTGCGCTGCACCAACGGCGAGCCGCCCGTCTTCGTCAAACCCGAGAAGGTGCTGGGGGTCATCGGCGCCTCGGCCAGCTCCGTCTCCATTATGGTGGCCAACATCCTCAGGCTTTTCCAGGTAGGACGCGGGCTCGGGCGGCAGCTCCAGCAGCAGGTGGCTGGCCAGAGCCGAGCGCCGGGCTGGAGACCCACGGCTTTGATGGAGGTGCGATTGCAACGCGGAGCAAGCTAAGAGATATCGAGCGTGAGCAACGGCGTTTCAATTCACATTTCCCCAACTGCACTGGGCTGTTGGCAGCGTTAGAGCTGATTTATAGAGAGGCCTGGAAGTCAGACTCATTATCTTGCCCTCTGTCCCTGCCGTGACAACCTCACTTCTGAGGTGGTGACACTTATTTCTGAGGGAGAGGGTAGAGGAACGCAGGCGGATCATTGGCTTGTTGGTAAGCTGTGCCCTGAACCCGAGTGTACATTCCCATCTCCAGATAAGTTTGACTTATCGATTTGGTCCTCAGTTTCTCTTTTGCTGCTTTCCCTTCTCGAGTGCACTCTCCCTGCAAGGGCGCTGGGTTGTTTTTTTCTTTTTCCCGAGGCTGCCTCCTGGGTGTACGAATCCAGTTACAAGCAGTCTGTGAATCAAGAGCACAGATTGTCCGTTCGTGTCCGTGAGTGTGCAGACAGACGCGCGGGAGATGCAAGAACTCTGGTTTTACTGGAATTTACCTCAGGGGAACTACTGTTTGGTTGGAGGCAGCAATCTGGGTACCAATGGCAGGCTTTGATTTTTAAATTCTGGAGCGTACAATATGCTGGTAATGTTTTCCTAGGCAATTTCCAGGATTCAGCCTTTTCCCGGCTGCTTCTTAATTGTGTTGGAATTGGCGTTTGTAACCCTTCGGAACAAGGGAATAGTGGGGGCACGGTGTGCCCTTTTTCATTTACTTCGTGGCTGTTCTTGTTTAAATTCAAGCAGAGGACGCAATCTGTAGCATGAGCGGTGGGTTTGCTGCATGGAGGCACATTCTGATCCTAAGGCAGGCCTACTCAAGTGTATTCTGCACAAATCAAAACTGTATTGAGCAGAAAATCTCAACCGGATGCCACAAGACTCATGAACAACTGTCGCTTTATTACTATTTCTAGTCAGTCGCAACCATCAAAATGCCATTTAACTCCCAGAAGGCTAAACGCATTCCTTGCGATGAGGCATGGGTGGGAAAAAAATGAGATTTTTAAAACAGAAAGAGGGGGAGGGAGGGAAGGAGGGAGGAAGGGGGAGAGGGAGAGGGGGAGAGAAGGAGAGAGGCAGAGAGAGCGAGAGAGCGCTAAATATGCAGCAAGCAGATTGTGGGGTGTGTGTATCAGCGTGGCCTCCTTTTCTCCTCTCTTCTACGGAAACATTTCCCCATAGCCAACTTCTTATTTATTATCAGTATTAATATTACCACTAAGAACTAATGTTCTATTCAGAGCAAGAAGTACAACAGTCCCCCTCCTTTCTGTTTCTTTGGATCAAACAACTTCCGATGGACGAGATATAAACCTGACTCTCTGAAAGACAAATACCTTTTCATATTAGACGCAATTAACCTGAAGTTAGTGTTTTTCGACACCTTGAGAGAGCGAGATATGTAATTGCTATCTTTTTCCTTTCTTCCTCCCTCCCTCCCTTCCGATTTGCTGAGAGTAAGTCCAAATACAGCTTCGTTAGCGCTCTACAAGCAAGAAGGCAAATCTACATCTAGCATTTGTCAGGAAATTAGAGAGAAATGAAACCAGGGGCAGCTGCTTGGTTCTTCGTACTGACGCCGTCCGGGGAGTGTGGCGATGGAGGTGGCCCGGACCCCAAGTCGGCTTTTCGAAAAAGGTGCGAAGTTGGCGCTGAAGTTGCCCTCAGCAGTCTTCAGAGGAGCCAAGACTGGAACCAGAGACTGCAGGCGCGTGAGAGGGAAAAGCGCCTAGAGAGGATGTGGATGGAGCCAGGCACCCACTTGTAGCCCGAGCGAAGAGGCTGGGCTGCGTCCGTAGGGCGCTGTCCAGCCCACAAGTCTAGTATCCGCTTCCCTACCCCGCCAGGTCTCCGGGCCAGTTCTGGAGCCCTTTTCTTCCCAAGGCTTCGATCCTGAACTCTTCCCCTTGACGAGGAGGCGCCGGAGGAGTGGGACGGGGGGCGGGGGCGGTGAGGTGTCTCCGTCAATAAGAGTGGCGGTCTGTCCTGCAGAGAAACAAGCAAAGGTGGCGTCGTCACGCCTCGCATCCGTGCTCGGGGCTTCAAAGCTTTCTCCTGGCGATCCGGCTTCAATCTCTCTCCCCCCCGCCCCGCCCCCTCGGCCCAGATTAGTTCTCTCTCCCGAGATGCAATCTGAACGGAGAGCGAGCTTCTTAATGGATCGTTGGGATTGTTTGTCCACAAGAACTAAATGGGTGCGCGGCTAGGGAAAATTTTCTAAGAAATTCTTTCGGAGTGGAAGGGCACCTCATCCTTATTTCTTATCTTGGGACTGAAAGACGAAGACATTTTAAAGGACAGGCACAACCACCATATTGTTCACGTTTAGTCTTGTTTTTATGGAGTTTACTTGGGTTGGGTTAGGACATGATTTGGACTATCGAGATGATGAAATTTCATTCTCAGAAGGGTAGAAAAATGACTCATTTTACAAAAGCGCACCTCTCCAGGTTTTTGGTTTTTGTACCAAGCTTGTAATAGTCTGTAGAGATTCTCAGTCATCCAGGTCGTGGTTATCCCAAAGGTGTTTTTTCTGGAGGCAACTGGACTTTCGTGTCTTAACTCTGCAGACTTTTATCTATACCATTTGGGATGAACGCCCTTTGAATGGTGTGGGAATAGGAATGGATTTCCAGAGGGGGGGAAATTGCAGACTACAGGAAGGACTACTCAGGTGACCCTGAGCACACAGACAAACATCCAAGTGCTACAATGACCCTTTCAAAGGATGCAAGTGACCAGCTGTCTGCAAGGAATATAAATCCTTCCATTCCCCTCTAACCTGTCTGAGCTGAAGAACCTTCTTGGATGAGAAGGAAATGTCTTCAAAGGAAAAAAAAAAACCAAGGAAATCCAGTTGCCTCCAGAAAAAGCACCTTTGGGACAAGCTTGTAATGCATTGCACTGATTTGGATTTTGGTCTAGGAAGTTCCCCAACCTTAGTAACTTCCAGACATGTGGCTTTTGAGTTTTGGATATATCCCTATGACTATTGCTGAGAAGTTTGGGAGTTAAAAATCCAGATACCTAGAAACTACTAATATTTGAAATAGAGGCATTATCGACTTTAAGATGTGTGGACTTCACCTCCCAGAATTGCCCTACCAGCTAGCATGCTGAGATTGAGAAACTCTGCAATAGACTGGTATCTGTGTTTTCATATCTTTTATTTAGGATTACCTGGTTTCTGAATTAGTAATCAGAACAATCTAATTACTATATATGTATATATTACTAATATATACATATATACAGATTATATGCATATACATGTATATGTGTGATATAATTTTATTTGTTTCTATATTTTTTATTAAATTTGTTTGCCATCTATCTTGCCACAAGTCTTACATAAATATAGGTTATTTATATATTAGTCCTTAGAATATTTTTCATTACACATTTTGAGCCAAACAGCATCTGGATAATATACTCACTCCTCATTGGTTATTATGGCTATTCTGCCCCCCCCCCAATTCCTTTTGTAATTGCAGCTAGACAAGGTAATTACTCAAGTTTATTTTATTAATTAAATACGAAACATGCAGATACACCAAAAGATATGACATTCTAAAAAAAGAAAATGGGAAGTAAAACTAAAAAAAGAGCTAAAAGCATTTAAGGCATGTGTACATGGACAATCCTACATAAGCATTTCAATAAGTAGAGGAGACTATTTGTAATGCAAAGTTGAATTATGGGGTGCTCTCTGAGTTTGGTGGTTCCCTTGCAAACATTTTATTATCAAACTAGATAACATCATCAGTGCTAGAAGGGGGCAAAGTTAGAAGAGACTTCAATAAGTTGTAGCCATATTTCATTGTAATGGTCCATAACTGATCCTCATGAATACTTCCATATTTTTTTAAAATAACTACTCAATACCACTGAATACTTCAGGACATATGTTGATATCCTCTTGTGTTATAAAAAGGACATGGAGAATCCACCTTCTTTGTTCAGATATCCATTTTTGATGTCATTAAAAGAGAGGTTAAACTTTGATTCAAAATAATGTCTTATAATTTAAGTGCATTATGCATTCAATTTCTTTCTCACAGCAACAGGTGCATTGTGTGGGTTAATGAGGGAAAGGTTGGAATTGTAATAAGAAATAAATTGGCATTATAATCCATCTAGGGTAGATGGGTAGAACCTGATCCACACTTTCATCTTCTCTCGTGTTCATATGGAAGGATATAATAAGATATAGAATAAAGGAACACTTTTCTATTATTATAACCAGCAATCTCGTTTTTCTTTCATGTCTATAATGATGCCTTAATTTGATCTAAGACAACTGTCTTAGTTAAACTGTCTTTAAGTCCAGTCCAGTCTTAAAGTTGTGATTTCTCCTTTCAGAAGGCAACAAGTTCAGCAGTTGTACTGTGAGTGCAGCCTGACATGTTACTGTGACCATTTGATTGCCATTTTGCAGTCAAGAACCTCTGAGAAGTTTGATTAGCTTTGAACCTATTAGCTGCTTTAGGCATATATGGACGCATCTCTTATGTCCAATCCTTAAATACCATCCCCAAGGGGCATTCTTCATTGGACAACAAAGAGAGTTCAGATTTTTTCAAATGCATCTCTTTGATTGCCTGTTCTCTGAGCTGACCCTCAGCTTTGAGAATGAGATCAGATGGACTATCAGCGGGTCAGTAATGGTGGAACTGAAACATTTTGAGGTGATTTTTTTTTTAAAAAAAAAAGCCCTTTCCACCTTCCCAACGTGACCCTGCCATCACATCTATCAAGCTATTCAACACCACAGACAATACTGCTACCCTTCAAAAAGACCTTGACTATGTATCAGAATGGTCAAACAAATGGCAACTTCAAATAGCAACAAATAAATGCTCTGTCCGACATATTGGCAACCCACCCCC